AAGATGCTTGCCCTTGCGGGCCAGGTCGCAGGTTACGCCTTCGCGGCCTTTGCCGTAGCGCTTGCGCTGTGATTGGGCTGCAAAGGAAGCTGCACATGGGCACGCACGTTCTGTCGTCCCCATTATACCATTGTATTTTGTATGTGTGAACGCTCGCAAACAAAGAGTCAAGTGTAACAAACAGGATCTTGGTGACGCTGACTGCAATTTGCACATACACTCTGGCCCGCACGTGGCTTGCTTCGCTGAAATCACTGATGCATCAAACACTCAAACACTGTCACCTACTTCTAATCATGAAGCCCATTCCATCAGGAATCGCACCATGTCGCAGATCTCCCTCATGGCGAAACGGCCTTGCCCTGGGTGGTCCCATGGGGTTCGAGGTCGTGGTAGCAATGCGGTGCTTGAGGTTCCTGCTTTGGAGCAATGCTCCCTGGTACAGCCGCGGGGCGCTGCTGCCCGTGGTGGCCTTGGCCAATGGCCTCTTGCCAAGTCAGACATGCCAGAAGGGACCCCTGAAAGGGGCGGAAAGGGGTGGGATTCCTTTTGGTTTCACCTAAAACACCAGCCAAAAAGGGGTCCCCTATCCATGAAATGCCCAAAACAGGGGGCAGGAGTCCTCAAATGGAGACCTCTTTTGTGACAAAGATAGTGCCCCCATTTAAGACCTTGTCATTTTGCGCCGTTGTGCAAACTTGATGAGGTTCAAGACTGTCAGGTTTACCCCTCCCTGGGCGAGAGCTTGGTGACGCCTGGTGTGTTCTCAGCAAAAGGTTGAGTCCGACTGAATTTGTCCCCGAAAAGTCTTGCCTGAATGATGGAGGGTTCAGGGAAGAAACTCGAGAGTTCAGCCTTCCATGTTCGCTTTGCCCACTGGAATTGTGTTGTGCTTGTTTCCCATTCAACCCGAAGTGGGGTCAGATTTGCCTCAATCATCAAACCTTTTGGCGAGACGAAGAGGTTTCAGAAGAAGGAGAAACTTATCGCACGACCTTTTAATGTCAGCAGAGAGTGCATGACCGACGCAAAGACACGTTGAAACTGCCAGAAGGCCAGAAGGTTGCCACATCAAGCGAAGATTACTTTCCGAAGCATTCCGAGCCGCCTTCCTGGCACAACCGCCATAAACCCAATTTGGGATTTCTTGGAGGCCGCTTTAATGGTCGGTCCAGAACAAAGGAAGTTCGAGTACATGCACTGGCAACGTAGCATCAGCCGGTGCCAGGAAAAAAAGGACACCTTCGAAGCGAAGAATTTACAAACAATAACGTTTGCATTGGTCGGTAAACCGCGTGCAACATTGCGCGGGCGATTTGTTCAGATGCAGGTTATATTTGAGCGACAACCCGCACCGTTGCTGATCACTTTGGAAACGTGTCTAATCGCTACTCTGTACAAACAGGCATAGACGAGGGCTACCAAATGGCCGGCACAAAAATACGGAACATAAGAAGTTCGAACCTGTTCATTTGGATGGTTGCCTTTTGGCTTTTGAAACGGGCTCCCGTATTTAATATCTAAAATGTGTAATTTGCTCAACTGCCCCAACTGCCCTTGAAAACGTCCGGGTGATATGATTGAACCTCGCAGAGCATTCTTGCACATGTTCAGAACAAGTCCGGGCCGGATCCAAGTTTCCAACTCTGCAACATAATTACGAAGATGGTTTTCTCCTTTTGAAATAGTCATTCTCATCCACCACTTGTGCCGCGAGTCAACACAACCCTACACCGTGGACAGATTCCACCCGAAAACCCTGAACCCCAGATCCGTGAATCAAAAGGCCGCAAACTCGAAACCCTACAAACCATGAGCCGACACGCTTGCGAGAGAAGTCACATCCAAAAGGCACAACTAAATGAACAGAAGGTTCCTCTCAAATCCCACAACTTGGAGCCAGCTCCAAGCACTACGGCACTTGAGAACTTCTGATCCAGTCAGGAGCGGTCCAGCACTGTCCAGCCTTTGCCAGCAGCTACCAGTCACTGAGCGGGACTAAGCCGACAAGTCATACCTTGACCCTCAAAATATCAGCCTAAGCCATGCACCCTACCCGCAACCCAAAAATCCTGAGCCCAAAATCCTGAAACAGACCCCTAAGCGCTGCAAATTAATGCCCGGACACCAGCAGACCTAAATTGGACCCGACAAAATTATTAGGGCGTGGCACATCAGCTGGCGGGCTGTCTTCGCAGGATTCTACCTCTCGGCCAAGGAGGGTCTCTGAAACATCGGGCAAGCTGGACTTTGGGACGTGGATGGAACTGGGATGCAAAAGATTGAGGACAAGGATCTCGCGCTGCACCTTGCCTAAATATGCTTTTGCTCCGGAGTTACGGGAAAGCATTTGCGCTCAGCGCCTTATTTCCAGTCCTCCATCGAACATGAGGATCACTGCTTTGTGTTTGCGTTGGGACTGGACTGGGTGCCATTGGCAGGCCCCTTGCCTGCTCAGTTGTGAGCCTGGGCAGGAGCCTCGAGAAATGCAAGAGTTGCACGTCGGGCAGTCGCGTTGATTGCATTCGCCCTACTGAGGAAGCTTCGGGACAAGGTGAATGCCTTTAACAAGAGCTCACTGGTTTTGCCAGCAATAATCACCCTGGCATTCGTCGCTTTGCCTGAGATCGCTCGCGTGCTCGGCTAAAGCGCCGGCCGGTTCGCCAAGTCCAGCGGATGACATGGCCTTTTGAAGTGAAGCGAGTGAACTCCTTGTTCAAGTGATGCAAACAAGCGATGTTGAGCAAGATTGTCATACAATTTGCAAGCTCAGTGGCTGTGTTTGCAACGATGGCAGAGTCTAAGCCACACCTCGAAGGCCAGAACTTGCCCTTGCAGAAGTGAAGACAGCAAGATTCGCTTCGAGTGACGGACAGCGAGTGTGTACGAGTGACAGAAAATCGCGTTGCCAAATCCTTTGGTAGATTCCCAACAGCAGTCGATTATGCTAACTGCGCGATCACTTGAGGTGCGTACTACTGTCTGAGAACTGGCAGGGGATAAGTGGCCATCACTGCGGCAGCTGATTGAAGTGTGGCATAAGATAAACACAACCAAGATGTCCTACTCCACTCCCGATAGACTTCCGCGCTATGGTCGAGCCACGCTTCACTCAGCATGCGGTAGGTGGGTTGCTTGTGGTACAATTGGGCTGGAATCGTTGCCAGTTGCATTGAGGCTTTGCCAAGTTCAAGCTGTGGCCAACGCCCCTAGTGGAAGGAGTCATGAAATGAAGCGAAGTCCTGTCTCAAATGCCAATACAATGGGCTCATACTTGTGTCTTATCGCATGTTGGTTTGAATGATGGCAATTCTCTTGTCAGACAAGTGAGGAAGCTATTGATACCATGGGTCAGAATAGTGTCACTCTTTTCATAGGCTTACGGATGCATGATGAAGCCAGCTAGGCCTACCAAGGCCAACAAACAAAGCCATGACACTATGAAGCTTATGAGCAGCAACCAATAAACATTGTCTACGGTTCCAGCGGGAATGACACGGAGTGAACTCGCCAATTCACCACCAGTAGATGAGGCTTGCAAGCTCCCAGCTCCAACGCCAACAAGAGCAATCTGCTGAAGTTCTACAGTGGCTCAACTCATGTCATTTCAAACGTTGAAGCCGAGAAACTTCATAGGCAACAACCTCGATGGGGATGAGCGAGTGAGCGAGTGAGCGAGTGAGTGAGTCAGTGAGTCAGTGAGTCAGTGAGTCAGTGAGTGACTGAGTGACTGAGTGAGCGAGCCAGTGAGTGATCCAGTGAGCCAGTGAGCCAGTGAGCCAGTGAGCCAGTGAGCCAGTGAGCCAGTGAGCCAGTGAGCCAGTGAGCCAGTGAGTCAGTGAGTCAGTGAGTCAGTGAGTCAGTGAGTCAGTGAGTCAGTGAGTCAGTGAGTCAGTGAGTCAGTGAGTCAGTGAGTCAGTGAGTCAGTGAGTCAGTGAGTCAGTGAGTCAGTGAGTCAGTGAGTCAGTGAGTCAGTGAGTCAGTGAGTCAGTGAGTCAGTGAGTCAGTGAGTCAGTGAGTCAGTGAGTGAGTGAGTGAGTGAGTGAGTGAGTGAGTGAGTGAGTGAGTGAGTGAGTGAGTGAGTGAGTGAGTGAGTGAGTGAGTGAGTTGTGCAATGGTTACTGTTCATTTGGCAGTTCATGCAATGAACCCTGTGACGATTTCAGGACTAGAAGGATGCCTTCAATTCAGGCTGTAGGGTTGTACTCCAGAGGAGGCTTGGCAGATTGCAGCTTAAACCTGCTGATTTGGCGGACCGATTTTCGTCTTTCGGCAAGCTGCCCCAATCACGACTGATGAAGCATAACACACTGGTGTTGGGAGCATCCTGCCCAGATTTTGAACCTTCGCAGGTTTCAGATTTAAGTGCTTTGACAAGCCATCCACATGATTTCCCTCATAGTGGCAAATGAATTGGCTCCACCTCCACGTTGCAAGCGGACATGTGTGGTGAGTGGTTCGTTTGTGGAAGAGCCGACACATTGGTACAGAGGATAAGGCTTCTGACTGGCAAGTCAGACCTTGACAACTGCTGTGAGGCTGTTGAGGATATCCAGGCAAACACCTGTGATTCGCTGCTTGTTTATCGACATGTCTCGAGCTGGGTCGTGTTGGGATGCATTCTGCATGGAGTGAGATGTTCTGAATATTCTGCAGCGCCGAATCATTTGATAGCAACCTTTGAGTGAACATTGGCGAGGTTGGTGCTTCACTGAAGGCATTTTCAGCGCACCATGCAGCTACATCGAATGGAGTCAATCCCAGATGCGCGCAAGAAACTGTGCCGCCGCAGACCCCCCCCCGCCCCTTGAGTTGGTTGATGCTGATGACGAGCCACATTTGGGGCTTGTGCTGCTTTCTGACTCGACCCTTGTCTTTTTTCACTCCCCCAAGCGGCGGGTAGGGGGGCACCTCAAGTGAGATACGCCCACTTTCAGGTGAGAGTCATGCTTACCAGTTGCCAGTGTGTATCCATTCCGCAGCGTGGCTTTGCTTTGGAGGCCAGCAGTCCCAGACGTTCCACCTCCGGAGCCAGTCGGACAGCGCAGGCCGGACAAGAGACTAAGAGATGGAGCTGAGTCGATGTCTGCCGAAGCTGGAGACGTCCTTTGCGAAGGCCCCTCCCCCACCCCCCCGAGATGCAACCGGAGAATATCGAGCCTCGCATGTCGCCGCCTTCCTGAGCAAAGACTTGTTGGCTGCATGAGCGAGAGGTTGCCGCAAATTTAAATTTGGGCATACAGCAACCTCGCAAAGGGGTGTGCCACCTTACCAATGATGAGTGTTCCTTTCAAAGGGAACTCGGCTTTTGGTCGGTGAATTGTTGTGATTCTTTCCGGCCGGATGATTCAATTCAATGTCCACAGCTGCCAGAGGCAACTGCAGCAGGTTGGGAGAATGCAATGTACACCGGGCACAGCTCAGCAATTTCAACCATCTTGTTTTTCCCTGCTTGCTCAGCAGGGAACCCACTCCCTACCAGGATCCATGTATGGTTGGCAGGGTCCTTCATATTTTACCGAGAATCATCCAAGAGGCCCTGAGGCTTTGCGTTGACCCTCTTTGGACGCCCCTTTTCGAATCTCATCGTAGATGTTTCGGGCAGCTGGGCACGCTGCCAAAAAGTCATGCATGCCGTGAACTGGCCGGGAGGGCGGGGGGGGGGGGGAGAGCTCAGCCTCCCGTGCACCATGGCTTGACCTTCCCGTGAATCGGTTTTCGCATGAGTAGGAGGGCTATGCAGAGTTCTTAGCTGGGTTTCCTTGCTCGAAAGGGTGGCTCATTTGGCGGCTTCCATTGTCTCAACCAAACATGGAAGCTGGCTAAGTGCGTCCTCTTATATATTGAGCAGGAGTGGTTCCCTCCAAAAAGGTGGCACCCCCTTAAGTAGGGGGAAATTCAGCCGGGGTTGACATTAGTCCCCGAATCTGGGCAGCCAGGCCTGGTGTCTCTCACGCTGGGCTCCGCGTCCTCGCCCGCCTGCGCCGGGAGGAGGGTCGGCGACCAAAAATAGCTTTTACATGGAGCCCAACAGGGGGCTCGCAACAAGGAGACTCCTCAACAAGCTGTGTGTTTTGGGGGGTTGCAAGTGAATCTGCGGGAGCATAATCATCATAATCATCCCCAAATTAGAAAGCGCCCAGAATGGGATTGGATGTCAAAAGGAAACCAGCTTGAACCCAACCTGTTGTTAGTTGGCATGGATGGTCGTTGGTTTGACCTTATCCGAAAGTAGACCAGTGAAAGGAAGCAGGAACTCTCCATGTAGACGTGTGTTAAATCCAGTTGTTTTGTTGGACATGTGTGTTGTTCGGATCCTGACTTTCAGCAATCCACCTGGCCTTCCAAAATTGGACTCGCTGCGATTTCAAATCCCCATGTTGATAAGGAAGTGCAGGAGTTGGCATGGATGCTCTGAGAGTCCGGAAAATACAAAGGAACTCATGTCAGGACTGTTGGATGGCTCTGGACTGGCCATGGCTTTCCGGCATCAGCTCCTGGGAGTGTCCTTTTGCCAGGCACCCGTGGATTTGCGCCTCGACAGCCAAGAGCTCCGCAGCGCTGCGGACATCCGAGCAGTGGTAGAGGCGCATGGGGCGCGCTGGCAAGCTCAAGTTATTCCCACTGAGCTCAAGTTCTTTCTGCCTGGATGAAGAAGCCGAAGAAGCCGAAGAAACATGTTTGCCAATTTGCCATGGTGCTTTCATCTTTGATTTGCGTCCCAGCGGCCAGTCAGTTCTCGACGCGAGCACTTCCAGGCCTGCGGTGCGCAGCCGCCCAAGACGCTGACGCTGGGCCCGTGGGGACACGGGCCCTCCTGCAGCTGCCACGGCGGCTTCGGTTCTGGCACCCCGGCAGTGTTGCCAGCGGAGAGCTGCGAATTAGCAGACGCAGCGATCCAGGCATGAGAGGGAAAGAGGGAGGGATGGAGGGGGGGAGGGAGGGAGGGAGGGAGGGAGGGAGGGAGGGAGGGAGGGAGGGAGGGAGGGAGGGAGGGAGGGAGGGATGGAGATGGAGAGATGAAGAGAGGGAGGGAGGGAGGGAGGGAGGGAGGGAGGGAGATGGAGAGATGGAGAGATGGAGAGATGTAGAGTGAGAGAGAGGGAAATAAAACAACTCGACCAAAGCAGCACAGTGGTTGGCATGAGTTTAAAGAACGGATGGCCTGATTTGGCTGCGTTGGAGGTTGAGTTTGGGATTCTGGTGTGAGCATGCAACCGATGAGTCGGGTTGTTCCATGCATTTAAGATCCGTGCTTGTTCTTCAAGGATCTCATATCTCCTGGGCCCCTGGCAGTGTATAAACCCTGCTTGCAGCCAAGCCGCTCTTGTTGGACTGCCAATGGCTTGAGGAAGCACCATGATATTCGGATGCTTCCGGTCAGAAATCCCAGCACAAAAAGGATAAATGTAAGTGGCCACTCTTGAGGCAATGATTCACTAGCGCTTGGTCACCTCGTATGGGAGCCTGGCCTTCCACTGCCTGGTCTCCTCTTTCGCGCTCGGCCCTTCCAGCTTTCCTTTTCAAGCAGGGCCCCTTTCCCTGCCAAAAGGGGAAGAAGTTCTGGGTCCACAAAGACCAGATTCCAGCAAAGATGTTTTGGGGCTTTGGGTTCCAACTTTGCCTGGAAAGCGGCCAGCTAACTGGGTGTGTCCAAAATAGGGAACTGCTGAAGGGGATTGCCTAGATGGGTGTCAAAGGCAAGAAAGGATCACTGCAAAATAGGGCGCTAAGTGTCTAAACACGGGTTGCTTTCTTTAGTGGAAACCTCAAAGGCCTTGTTTTTTTTCAGCCCCAAAGGATCAAAGGTCGTTAAAAGGGAATCTCGAAAAGGGGCCTGGCGTTGATTTGGGGTGCCCCCCTTTTGGGTTAGACAAGCCCCACCTTCTTGATTCATGCTTTCAGCAAGCACCAGTTTTCGTGTTCTGGTCTTTCTTGGCTACTCCTCAGGTTTGGCCCACGAAGAAGCGGCATGTGTTTACGTTTGTCGGGAAAATGCCAGGCCTTCCTGGGCTGCGCCCGCATTTGGGGCGCCTGGCCATTGCGCAGCATCTCCCTCTGCGAACTCCGGGGCCTCGGAAGCGAGGCAGCGGCCTTGGGCGCGCAGTTGGCGCGGTTGCGGCCGCCCACACTGCGCCCCTTGGACGGGCGGGAGTCGTGGGGGTGTGCTTTTTAGAGGTAATAAGTTACCCTGTTTAGGGTTGTGTTAAAGAGAAAGCAAAGGGAAACCACACATTCTTGGGGTTCGTCTATGTTGAGACACACCCTGGTCGTGTTTCGGACGGGAGGGCAGGACTTGCATCCGTTGGGGCGGTTTGAGGGCAATGTCTTTCTGCAGATGAAACACAGATGGTGACATGTCATTCCCCTTGCAGGCGGTTCTAGGATTGCACGAAGACTGTGTATCGTCTTATGGCCCGTGTTTGATTTGACAATAAGTCAGGTGTGAAGCCGAAGGACATGCTGCCGAAAGAAGGCGAGGTACTGACTCATTCTCAGTATTTAAAAAGCAATCGATCGGGCTGCTTTAGCATGGTTTGGTCGAAGACAGAGTGACTTGGAGTCACCCAATGTTGGACCAAGCCTTGCCGATATTCGTCCATTGCTGAGCAGATAACAAGCACTACTTTAGGATTCCTTTTAGATATGCATAGCCGCGCATTCCAAACACCGGCTAGGACGTCATAACCCTTCTTGAACCTTGAGTGGCCTGGCTTGCATTTTGCAAAGCGGGTATGGGGGACCCTTTGGTGGACATCATCTACGTGAGGAGTTATGCCAACCCTTCTTCAGAGGGTGCCTGTTAGAAGCTCATAGCCAGGCGCGGTCAAAACGATTCTCCATTTTCGGGGCATCCTTGTAGTTCCAGCGTTCCAAACCCCGGGAACCCGTGGGGGCCCCGAGGCTTGCAGCATTTGGGCATGCGAGGAAGTGCGCTGGCTACTTGCCTGGAGGCGTCGTGGGACCCCCTTCAAGCCGGTTTCCAGTGCAAACCTATTCAAAAAGAGTTTCCAACTGTCTGCAAGGTTTTTCAAAGAGGCCACCCATTTTCCATTTTGGGGATCTCCAAAAGTCACAGACTCATATTAATCTGTAGGTTTTGATTGAACATCCAGTGAGCCCCAATCAGCGTATAACACGAGAATTTATCATGTGAAATCTGAATGCAAAGAACCAAGTTTTTATCACAATGTGGTTTGCCAGAAATCACCGCGGAGCCAGAAGTCAACGACTTCTGAGTACTTCTCAACCGAAACTTTCGGGCTGTAATGTTTTAACCTCAGGTCAAGGTGGGGCGTGAGTGATTGCCCTGAAGCCGGAGTCACAAGCTTGACACGCGCGTGTTTCCCGACTTTGGACATTCTCCATTGCCCGCCACCTGAGCTTAGTTCATCTTTGTTTGCAACACCCTCCATAAACAAGAAGCAAGGGTTCCAAGGTTTGTAAAACCCCCCGCAAGGTTTCCAGAGAGAGAAGCATAAAATAGCAAAAACACCCACACACCCCTCGGTGTTGACACAGGCGCTACGCGGCCTTCGTCTGGAGCTTCTGGACTTGAAGCTTGGGCGCGCTTGAGAATCGATTGGGCTTTTGGGAAAAGGGGCACAAAGCAAAAAGTGGCCAGCTGTGGCAAAATGTGGCAAAAGATGCAGCCAAGAGTCTGGAAGGATGAAGAAACCTACTTTTGATTCTTGGGCCAGCACTTTGGCCCAAGTCTCATGGATGTTTCTCAAAGTGGGTTTCGTACTCCCTTTTGGCATATAAACTGAAGCCACAAGGACGCCAATCATGTTAGGAGAGAAACCTATATGAGAGGCTCCCAGTCTTACGAATCGAAAGAGATTGGTGACCTAAGACCAGGGAGTCAGAACAAGAAACCTACGGGAAGAAAGCAATAGCATGGAAGGTCACGCAAGCAAACCATGAGCACTGTTTTGCCGGTCACATAAAACTGTCAAATGGCTGGTTAGACCAGATTTACTTGCCCGCCTCAAGTTACCTTTCAGGGCCATCCCTGAGACGTCATGGATGACTCCACCACGACAGTGGAGTGGTCCGAAGGTCAAGAGGCATTTGGCCTGGAGCAAGGGGCGGCTGACCACATTCCTATGCCCCAGTGCCCTACTCTGCAATGCCTCAGCCGTTGAGGGGTGGCCGGGTGCGGCGTGCCCCGAGCGACACCCATTTGCGGGGGAGTGGGACGCCGTTTCAGCTGGACGTTGCTGCGCAATGTGCACAGAGCTCGTGCCAGGCAAAGGTGGTTGCAAATGTCGTCACCGATCTCAGGGTAATTCAGAAAGCTAAGTGGCCCAAGCGGCAGACTGTGATGGCTCGCATTTCCTGGCAGATATGTACCCGCGAAGATGAATTGCGAAGACGAAGCCCCCGAAGAGTGCCTCTAGCCGCGCCTGCAAGGGCCGTCAGCCAGGAATGCGGCGTCAGAAGGGGATTGGCGTCAGAGTCAGCCGGGAACGCGGTATCACGAGGAAAAGTGGCGTTTGAGAATGTGGTGTCAGCATGCGGCGACAGCGGGAAACGTGGTGTCAGGGAAAGCGGCTTGGTTTATGGGATGCGGCGTCAGAGTGCGAATTCAGCGTCAGGTGAAAAAGCACTGGCCCTTTTTTGCAACCAAGATCTGAGAGCATCTTCCCTTCTCAGCTTTCCACAACTTGCAATGGCTTCAAGGAGTTCAGTCGCCTTGCAGTCGCCTTGCAGGTTTCCTTGTGCATGAAACCGGGTCTTAGGTTCCATCTTAACGTGGATTTGGTGGTGGCAGTTCATGTTCTGGAAGAATGTGTTGTTGCTCAGGAGTGGCAACGCGCTTGAGGATGAGGATCTTGCCATGTTACTTCGCTTGATGTCAGGCTGGGAAGCAAATGCAAAACTGGGACCCCGGAGCGCTTGGGGCCGAGGATGCTTATGAAAGCGGGTAGTGGTTTCCCTTGTTGTACATCCTACAGATTATGGGTTGAGTGAGAACTGGGGTTACTCCCCTCCCATTTTGTGAACAACCCAGCAGGGCAGCCTCACGTTGGGCGCAGTGTGTGGTGAAAATTAGTTGACTGGGCACGGCCATGACTGCGCATTTTCATGCCAAGTGCGCGCAATCTCGCAGCGTTGGAAACTTGGAAAATAGAAGGTGCCCATGTGCAGTTAACCACGGCTATATTCATATATTTATATTATATATATATATACATATATATATATATACATATATGTATATATTTAGGTTTCGTTGAGGAGGGCCATTTGTTGGTTATTTGAGGAGGGCCATTTGTTTAAAATTTGTTTGTCTTTCAGGGCGGGTGGCTTTTCGGCTTTCTGGCTTTTGTGGCTTTTTCGTGGGATTAAGTGGCTTTTGGTGGCTTTTCAATTCGCATCCTCTGCATTCACAGTTCCTCTCTGGCAGGTGGCTTGCTCGCCACCCTAGTGTGCATCCTAGCGGGAGTTGTGGAAAAACCAACGTTACACGCGTGCCACGTGCTGTTCTTGGGGCACGGTGTACACCGGGGTTGAGGCATGTGCCTCCAACTTTGTGTCTTGGATGCAGCGGGTGCCGTGGTCAGCTAAGATGCCGCCACACACCGGACCGAAAGCTTAGGCAAGGCAGGCGGCCAATTTGCCCGGGCTGCACTTGCAGTCCCGCTCCGAGCGACCCGCCAGGAGCCCAGGCGTCAGACCGTCAGATGGCGTCAGTGGGCCTTCAGCGCACGGCATTTGTACTCATGGCATGTTTGTTGGTATTTTTGGATTTGACGGATTCGCATGGCTCTCATCCATAGACCCTTAGGCCCTTGAACTGCGCTGCGTTGATGCGGCAGTGGTGGGTGGCAGCCGTGCTCCCGAGCGCCAGCTTATTGTGGTGCCTGGGTTCGGCTCGTCTCATCGTATGAGTCGTACGCAGCCCCTCGCAGAGAATGAGAGCTTCGTCATATGAACCCGGTGAGGCCCATCCATCAGAGTAGTTTCACAGTCAAGGCTGATGCTGAGTTGAAATCAATCCTGCTCTTGCCAACCAAGCCTTACCAGGCCTGCAATTATCCCTACGAATTGCGAAGATGAGAAATGTTCGATAGCGATTAGCGTATCGGGAGTGATCCCGCGCCTTTGCAATACGAAACTAGTGTGTCAGCACGAAGTAAGTTACACGAAGCCAACACTAAGCCAATCCTGAGCCAGCAAGACCCAGCACACGTCCAACATGTTGATGACACCCTGTACTAAAAAAAGGCAGGGAAGCCCCGAAAAGTTAAGGAGTGTTGGATGAAGGAAAGGACAGAAAGATCAAAAGATCTCTGGGCCTGAACACAGAGGAATGCTCAAAGAATTGGGACAGCTCAAAAATACTAAGAAAAATCCAAACCAGTACTAAGCAGTGTTTACGGAGAGGCTTCTTGAGTAGCCCCAACTCCGACCCGCAATTTGGTTTCTAGGGTATTCCCAGCTGACCCCCAATTTTGTTTGGGGGCGAGGGCGGGGTCTTTGTGAATTACGCCAGACGGAGTGCGAGACGTGCTCGCTTGGTTTCACTCAAGTCATTGCCGTATGTGTGAGGGGAGCGATTTGGTTTCGTTTGTCACCGTTGCCTTGGAAAGGCATGCGGTTATCAATTTTGTTTTGTATGCCCTGCTTCTCTCCGTTGTGTTTTTGCACGCTGCGTCTCACGATTCTTCCGACATGTCACCTGGAGCTTTCAAATTTAAGTGGCCCCGGAGAAAACGACAGGAAGCGAGCGCCAGTCAGAGCTGCGCTGAAGCTGCCTTCAAGCGGCCACGGGGCCCGGAAGCGCGGGGGGCCCGGGATGATCCTGCGGACTTGAAGCGCAAGCTTGCGCAATCTGCAGCGTGTTGCACGACTTGCCCGTTCCTCAGCCAGATTTTGACCAAAAGCCGAAAAATGAGATTGCCAGATTGCCAAACACATGGCCCCAACATTGTCTTCCAACTTGCCACCAGTTGGCTTCCATCTTCCCCGTCTTTCGCAGGCTGTGATGGGCACCTCGCTGCGACTCGGGCAGCAAGGCAGCTGCACAACTGCAGGAAGTTCCTTCCAAGTTGCGTTGCCGTTTCGGGCGTGTTTATGCCCACCTGGGATTGGTAAGGGGCGCCCCCCCCTAACCCATGAGGGAATCTAGAAGAACATCGTGGGGCGGAGTCAATTGAGTTGCTGGTTTGATCTAGCTTGGGTAGACTTGAGTTTCCACTTGTTCTAGTATTGCTGGAGCTTCCGTTTCAGATTTGGAACTGGGTTTCCATTTAATTGTGTATTTCTGGGGATGTTTTCGGCCAGCCAACAAGACTTTGTTCTAAGGGGGCCATGAGATAATCAAATTGGTGGTCTGAAGTTTGACTGCGGGCAGTTTTAAAACAAGCGACGTGTGAGAAGATATGAGTTTGGGAAAGCTGAGCTTTTTGTTATTTGGGGAGCAGGCCCAAATCTTCCAACAAAGCCTGAAGCCTCGCCACAATCACCTGCGCCGTGAAATTGTTTAACTAGCAAAGAGATCATTACACTGAGCAGGTTGTCTTGATTTTCAACCAGAGACATGTAAGGAAACGTAAGTTGGAAGCTGACCATACGCTGACCATGTTGGACTTTTGGAGCAGGCTCATGATGTGTTTTCCTGATTGTTTGCCTGAAAAACAGTGTCTCTACACTAAGGGGCTCTTACGGTAAGAGTCAAGGTATATTTGCAATTATCCAAAGGCACCTTGCGCTGGTGCTTCTAGAGATCCTTCCAAGAGGTCTTGCGCAGGACCTGCAAAGACTTCCAACAGGTCTTGTAGAGGGTTGCTCGTAGAGGGTCCTCTGAAAAACCCTGACACTCTTGCGCGGGACCTGCAGAGACTTGCTTGCGAGACGTTTTGTAGAGGATGCTCCCTAGAGATCTTGAGCCTGGCACTTGCAGAGGGGGTCCTAGAAAGAGATCCTGAGCAGAGGTCTTGTGCAGAGATCCTGCTACGATCCTCGGCAGATATCTTGCGCTGTTCCTGCAAATAGAGATAACCATTCAACAGATTTCTGTTAAGGCCACCCGCTTGTTTTCATTCCCCATCCAGTTGCTATTCCAGGTGGACATTGATTCTTGGTCACTTGGCTTCCAAGGGTTCGCGCTGCTGCAAGAGCGGCACTATTGCCTTTTGACGCTGGACATTGAAGGCTGGAAAGGGTTGAAGGTCGCATGGAAGTCGGTGAAGCCGGGCAGCTAAATTGTGTTTTGGGCAACATAGAGTGTGTTAATCAAGGTCACACAAACAGAGGGCAAGCAAATTCAAAGTAGTTCAATCAATGTTTGAGCGTGTTGTGTTTTTGTTGTTAATGCAAACTTCTCTTTAATATGTTTGGGCTTCTGTCACTTATGTCTGCAAATCAGCAGTGGGTGGGAAGGATGATTGCTGTATCATACAGCAGTTGCATTCTGCTTGCCCATCCCTCTTTGGAAACAAAGCTTTGTCAAGGCAAGGCAGGAGCCTTTTGCTGCTTTTGTGAGCAGCGTGTGCTGATGTTGCGAGATGCTTTTTGCGCTCCAACGCTTAAGGTTGCTAAGGCGGGGTTAGATTCAATGGCTCCCGCTTTTTCGGCCAGTTTTGATGGGAAAGGTGTCTGCGTGCGATGCAAACTTGGGTCGTTCTCACGTGTAGCCTGGCCATAATTTGGGGTATGAGTTGAAGTTGCATTGGGTTTGCACTTGATGCGAGGCGGGAGTCTGATGGGGTGTGTGGGAGGAGCCTTCCGCACGGCAAGTGGGTGGCCATGCGGAGGTCCCTGGAAGCCGAGGGGTACGAGGTCCGGCATCTACCGTTTCACCCCGAGGGTCCGGCCTGTGTGTTTTTTGTTTTTGTTTAGGTTTTTTACAGTTTTTATATTTTACTTTTTGTTTTCAGGGCGGGTGGCTTTTCGGCTTTTGTTGCTTTTTCGTGGGTTTTGCGGCTTGTTATTGGTTTATGCGGCTGTTCGGGCTTTGGCTTTTCGCATCCTCTGCATTACCAGCTCCTCCCGGGCAGGTGGCTTTTTGGCTTTGTGTTATTGGTGGCTTTTCTGCCTTTCCCCAGTTGGTTTTGGCCTTGGCTTTGGATTTAATTGCAGAGATTAAAATGCACCCCCAATTGAACCATCACTTTTTCGATCATCACTTTTTACATTTGTTGTTCATATTTTGCTTGTGTTTATGCATGTTTGCACGTGTGCGTGTGTAGGTGTGTAGGTATGTAGGTATGTATGTGTATGCATGTATGTACTCTATGTAATCTATGTATGTATGTATGTCTGTACGTGTGCACTTCTTCAAACATCATAGGGGGCTGCCGCACCCCCGCAGCCCCCCGGCTTTTAGACTTTTCGTAGAGAATAAAATGCACCACTAGTTGAATCAAAACTTTTTCGATCATCTTGGAGGGCGGCACACCCCCCCCCCTGTTTTTTGGCTGTTTTGCAGAGATTAGGTGGCCCCCCTTTTTGAACCCGAAATTTTTAGCATCATGGAAAAGACCTCCCAGGTGCTTCTTAAACACATAAATACCTACCTACCTTGCTGGAGAGGAACTGATGATGCTGAGGATGTAGGAAGCCTCAATTTGCTGGTGATGCTCGGGATGCTGGCTGGACACGCGGGGGATGTTGAAAACGATGCTGGTGATGTCGACGGGCGAGTGTAAAATAGGTACATTTGAGAAAATATGGTAACATATATCATTCTTCTGGCAAAAACAAAAATCAAACAAACACCCAAATTAAATCTCGACTCGTTCTTTAATCATGCGGGATACGGTGCAAAACCAAGACAGGAGATACATGGCAACAAAAAAAACTGAGAAGAGGTCAACTCCTTTGCAGATTGTCCTGGGGGGGAGTAACTGCCGCACTGTTCGTCCAAAGAAGAGGTAAGCCGCATAGCCCCGCAGCCACTCAGGAGCCCCCCGCTTGGCTAAGACCGCTAGTTTATACGTTCGAAGGGGAGAGATCGACTAAAAGGGCTGGTGTGAAGTGTACCCTTTGTTGGGGAAGCTGAGAGAAGCCACTTGAGTCTTGGGGTCCCTCCAAAAGAGAAACCCGTTGGAAAAGTCAGCCCCATGACAACTGGAAAGGGCTTCTACGTGGGCAGGAAGCGAACCGCTGCAGCTGTCCGGCTTGACGTTGAGCACCTGGGCCTTCAGATCAGAGTGTTCCACTTGGTTCGGGTCGCAATCGTTGGACGATGTTGGGCGTATTTCAGTCTAAGCCGGCAAAGGCCACACGCGCGAATCCAGTGAAGAGCGCTCAAAACCTGGATTGACCATGGTATGCCCTTCTATTAGGTTGTTCTACGACCTGGCTTCATGGCCGTTATAGCATGGCATGCTCAAGTGTGCATTTAGTGTTGCAGTGTTGAAGCGCTTCTTTATGGCTTGCAATGGCTTGCAAAGGGTTGCCAGCCAAGTCGGGGCCACTACAGATCAATGCATGTGTGTGTCTATAGTGTGTGCGTTCATTGATGCCTATTGACTACGCAGGCAACAACCCGGCGATAAGCCAGGCCGGCGCTGGCTCGGGATGAGGATGTCACTGTAGCATATTGGCTTGATATGTTGTGACTAAGGGCACTACTCATCATTGTCGGGATTAGTCTTCACTTCGCGCTCCAAAGCTTAAATGTCTCGGATGGATGCAATTGCAGCAAGTTGGAGTCGGCATGTGCATACAATGGACGATCTGGGGCGCATTAGGGAGCCAATCTCAATTCTGATTGTGACAATTGTTACGAAAAGCTAGACTGTATGGACGAATGTTGCCACTCTGGGTCACTTCGGAGCAGAGCATGTGCCCTGTTGGATCAAGCCAAGCCACTGGAAATTATATAGATTAGTCGGGAGTTTCTCAAAATAGGGGACCCCTAAAGATGGGTGGCTTCCTGTTGGTCCCTGTAAAATAGTGAGCACCGACACACACAGACATTCACACACACATCATCACATTCACATGCGTACACACACACACACCTGCACAAATACATACACAACATATTTGCACACAGCACGTGCGCACACACACACACACCGGGCAACACAAGTGTAAAACCACACACAGAGACAGGCACGATGGGACACGGTTCTTGGAGTCTTCGAGGCGTAGTGTCTCGTGGTTCGGTTGCAAGCGACTGCAAAATATGGAATGGATGCCTCCAGAAAGCGGCCCTTGGAGTCAGAGGAATCTGAGGAGCTGGAGGAGATCCAAGATACTCTGCCAAAGGCGTCCCTCTGCCCAAGTCGCCTGCGAGGCAAGCGGGTGAGCTTGGCACCTTGGATTTGAGCCAGAATCCAAGCCGAAATCATTGCAGGTTACGATGGCTGGTCATGCCCAACGAGATATTTTGACTGTGGGCTTACATCATGACTCACTTGGCGTTCTGAGGATAATTATACAATTTGCTGCCGCAAGCCGTGCTGGTGCCTATAGCTAGGTTGGCTTCGAACGGCCAACTCATATCTAGGCAAAATTCAAGCAATCTCCCAAAGAGGGGTTGTGACCTCCACCCAGGAAACCTTCCTTTGGCTCAGTGTCAGTGTGTGTGTGTGTGTGTGTGTGTTTTTAATGCCCCCCACTAATTAACATTCTGCCAACTCGCAGGGAACCTGTGCGCCTATGGTAGGCTTGCCAGATATCACCATCTAACCCACCATTTAGAGAGGACTCCGCTTGCGGAGAGAGATAGAGAGAGAGAGAGTGAGCGGGGGCAAGTGCCATGTAAGATATGGACACTTGTCAAAAAGCCGAGGTGCAGAAGGTGAACGATGACTACTTGGCCATGCTTCGAGACGTCGGGCGGAACGAGTTCTATTGGAAGGCCCTTGAGTCCTTGCCGTGTGCGGGTCTCAAGGTCTTGGACCTTGGCGCTGGCACAGGGCTGTTGTCGCTAATGGCGGCCAAGCTGGGTGCGAAGGACCTATGAGTGACTGGGTGTTCGATGTCCGGAGTGTGATTTGGTGGGACATGCCACTTGATTATTTGTTGGCCCCTGATTTTGCAAGCATGTTTTCTTGATTTCCCCCCGGCTTTCGCCGAAAAGGACAAACAACGTGTTTCGTTCAAAAAGGTTGTTACTCCAAATAGGGGTCGCCCAACAAATGCTGACTGCTTTTTGATTTAGCTTGAAATACCAACCCACCCATTGGAGAAACTCCCAGAACGGCGCTCCAGGGGCGCCCATTTGGTCCTCTAGGAAGTCCTGGCGGTTGAAGAGTCAGAGGATATGGCGCAGCTGGTGACGCAAAGCGCCGAACACAACGCTGTCCAGGTGGTGTGGGTTTGCCTAAAGTGAGCATGGCGGTAGAGCTGTTCCTTTGAACAAATCACGCATGACAGTAATATAATTTTAATAACTTTTGTGCGGGCTGATGTGGTCAAGGTGCAAGTGCTCCAAGGGCACAGTACCTCGCTGCGCCTCGCGCCGGAGGAAAGGCAGGAGCGGTTGGGGTGAAATATCGACCACTTTCGGTCATGCGTATGCCCAAGAACTTCATTTTCTGGTGTTCTCAGGCATTCTCAGGGATTTCTAGGCATTGCTCACTTTCGCAATCCAGCATGCTTGTCCCGCAGGGCAGACATCATCGTTTCGGAGACCTTCGGAGTTCTGCTCTTGCAGGAGGGTTGCCTCGACTCTTTCGTACATGCCCGGGAGCATTTGGCGAAACCGGGCGCCCCCATCCTGCCATGTGGTGGCATGCAGTGTGCCACGCTGCTTTCCTCCACGGCTTTGCGCACGGCAAGTGGCGGTCTTTTCACCGAGCAGCCCGACATGTCTCACGTGGCTCGGCTCCGAGACACGGGCCGGGTACATTTCTCGGTGCCCGGGGGCTTCAGTGTGAACGCTTTGCCGGACGCCTGCGCCATGTCGGAGCGCCTCTGCGTGCTGGAGCTGGACTTTGCAACGAGCACTTTGAGCGACATCCCGGCGAGCCGAACCTTCGTGCTGCATGCACTGCAGGAGGGCTGCATCGACGCGGTCGTGACCTCCTGGGAGGTGTGGGCGGACAAGCAGCGCAAGCAGATCCTGAGCACGCACGCGGAAGACACCAAGGAAGGGAGATGAAGCATAAATGTAGATGCACTGCGGCACTGCGGTTCCAGAAGTTGACCTGCCAAACGTATGAATCCCACGTTCGCACCTGTCAGCTTTCGTTCCTGAGCTCAACTCGTTTGGTGTCCGCAAAGTCAATTTTGGAACGTTTCCGTCCATCGTGACCGGGTGGTAACAGAATTTGTTCAAGTTCGAACACGTGATCGTTTCCATTTGTCCTTGCCATATTTGACATTGAGTGCTCCTTCCTGCCACGGAAACTTATCAATGCTTTCATGCTGCACATGTTTCCTGAGATGGACAACCCCCCCGAACACGTGGACTTGCGCTTTGTTCTGCTTGTCCCGCCCGAGCAATATGGCTTCTCATACCAAGCCCTCTCAAAGCCCCTGGACCTCAGGGCCAGGACTGGGGCTTCGCTCGGGACGGGCACTGGGGCCAGGGCTTCCAGGCGCTAGTGCCGCTCACAGTGCAGAAGCTTGGCTGCTGTTTGGGAGCGCTTACTTTCGCTTTTTGGGCAATGCCAAAAACAGGTTAGGCCCACTGAAAGGGTTGAACTCAACGTGCTTTTCAAAAAAATACAAACGAGGCAAAAGGAAATTTGTGGAAACAAATTAGCCAGCAACGAGCTCGATTTTTGGCGGGGGGTTGGATTGCTGTCCAGGAAGGGTCAAGAGCTGCGCCTCACGGTGCGCTTTGCGGACAACGGGCGCCTCGAGCAGCGAAGAGAAGGAGTTCTCAGATGGATCTCCCTTGGAGTCAGAAAACTCCCTCCCCCCATTCCGTTGAGTTTTGAGCACACTAGCAGTCAGTAGCTGCTGTGTGCCTATTAGCTGTTTTCTACGAGAGCCCAAATGGTAGCTAATACAGCTATTTGATGACTGCATTTCCTGGTTGGCCAAATAAGCGGTTGAAACAATGCGGGTTTTCCGGAGCCCCCTCCCCTTCAAATAGCTTTTAATAGCAGCTAGGCAACACGTTCTTAGGTTTGCACCAAAACAGCGCTTTCAGCACCGTCAGCTGACAGAAAGCGGGCTAGGTAACGCAGTCTGCGCTCGGCCTTTTGCAGATGAACGTTCTTCACTTAATAGATAGAAGGAGGGGTCCAACACGCGGGAAGGCATGGGTGCAATCTGTGGTTAAAGCACAACCAAAGGAAACCAACTAATTTCATGAACACCAACCTGGAGGTTTCTCAAAGTGGATCCGGGACCGCCTTTTGGACGGCAAAGGGAAGGTGGGAAACCGACTTTTAGGGGTATCTTGAGTTTGGGAAACGCCAACTCAACCAAATGGCCGGGAATTGCTGTAACTAGGAAGCTAGGAATAGCTGTGATCTTTGAGCCACAAATAGGGGAAACAGCGGCTATGATATTCGGTCGGCACATCAGCCAACATGGTCGGCAGACATAAACAATTTACAACCATGAATGCCTATTGGTAATCATACATGGTGGAGTCTCAAAGTAGGACCCCGCGGGGCGTCCACAATGCTTGGAGCGGTTGGAGATTTAACGGGTCCTCAATCAACCTTGGACCTTCAAAACGGCATTTGTTTTACTAGAACCCACCAGTGAATGATCAACTTGGGAAAGGAAATCCATTGATCCTTGGCAATGCTTTATCATAAATAGGTGCAGTCCTCGATGGTAGCCTCCTTTGGGTGCCAGGTGTTGATTACGATGCCCCTGTCTCCTTTGTAACATCTTCTTGTTCAGGCGTGTTTGTGTCTCGTTGTTCCCTACTTGTTATTTTTCATGTGTTACCCCGTCCACGTTCACCTCACCCTTTTTCGAGCGCTTTCTTCTCTGGACCCCTGCTGACTCCCAACCAACTGGAGGAAGGCGTGCCAATTCTCGCTGGAAACAGATGGATCTCGCAAGCCAATGGAGCTGGATCCGCGGGCGGAAGCTGAGAAGTCTGACGCGTTCAAGTGCGAGGACTATGAGGCGGACTTGTGCCAATGATTCGACTGGTGTCCAAGAATTGAAGACCATTTTGGTGTGTAACAGCCTTCTTTGGACATGTTGCTTGGCGGATCTTGCCCGAAGGCGCCTTGGCTCTGCGAGGCATTCATCCCGCTGCTGTGTGACGTGGAGGCCGAGGGTGTGGAGCCAGACCAGCGGCGATACGCGGAAGACCTGGCCCCGACGTTTCAGAGCCCTTTGGCGGAGCAGCGGTCGGTGGTGGTGAGGAGCCTCAACGACGACTACTTCGCACTCATCAGCATCTCGGATCGGAACGTCCAAGTGAGATGGATCTTGGTAGGATGGCAGCAGCTGTGATATTGAATGATTGGGCAATCCCAAGAACTCGCTGCATTATGGAATGATTGGTCAGGCTCAATCAAACAGAGTACTGAGTTCGATCGAACGCATTGCGAGCCTGTGCAGCGTGCACTTCAATCAGATCATTCACCCCAGTCTGTCAACAGCTGCCGGCAGTTGTCAACAAAGCTTGCTAGAGTCCTCAGATGTTTTTGCGCTTAGTTCAACTTGGTTGCATTTGAGTCGCACACTAAATTAAGCCAGACATTCGAACGACCTTTTACACCAGACTCTCAGAGTGAAAGTAGGTGTCACAAATTCCTTGCGGGAAGAACTTGTAAAGTGAATTGGAATGTATGGCATGGTTCACCCTGCAAAAAGGCTCCTGGGATCTGTTCTCCCTCCCCATGCCTGTAACATTCAACGGGGATGTCTCCCCTTTTTCAAAAGTATTCAAAAACCGCTATGAGGTCCCTACATTTCCCGATTGAAGCCATTTACAACTCCCCTTTTGGGGCCACTCATCGGATGAGTTTAGGGTTGGGTTGTCTTTAAGAGGAAGTATCGGGAGCCATTTTCTGGAGCCGGGTTTCCTGGGGTTTTATGGGGAGGTTTCTGCTTAAGGGAGCTGTGTATTTTTGGGGGATTTCTCGCGTGAGACCACCCCGCGCGGCTGCGCTTCTTCCGCGGCGCGCTGCAAGCGCTGGCGGACAGCTCCGGCAGCGTTCGCGTGCTCGACCTGGGCGCGGGGGCCGGGCAGCTGGCAGCGCTGGCGGCCACACGGCCATGGCCAAAATGGCAAGCCATTGTTTGGTGCAGTGGTTTTGCTTTTGTTGTCATTGTTCTTTGTTGTTTTGTTGTTTTGTCGTTTGGTTGTTTCTATTCAGATGTCTTTTGTTTGTAGTACTCGTACCTTGTTTTTGGGCGTTGTGTGGAAAGCTGTTTGTAAAGGACTGCGCTCGTTGGGGGCCGTTTGAGAAAAAGCCCAGAGTGGGCCCCTTTTTGGTGCTTGCGTTACAGGGAACGAAAGGGAAAACCACCCTAATTTGTGAGAATAGTTGGACTATGCCTCGCAGTTTTTGTTTGGCTTTCTGCAATAAGGAAATCCGCCTAAAGGCGATAAACCAAACATTGGGCATGCCGCTTTATCACCAGAAAGGTTGTCCAGTTATCCACAATGAGTCAATTTCGGGGGTATCCACAACGAGTCAATGAGTGAATGAGCGTGAGGCGCAGCTTGGGCATTCCGTGCTGGCGCTGGAGGCGTGTAGCGAGCTCTGCACCTTGGCGCGGGAGACGGCCCAGAGGAACGGAGTCCAGGCGGAACCGGCGGGGAGCAAGCAGCTATCATAGGCCCTAGGTGATCCTTTTTCGGTGTGGCTGAAAATACACATAGATTTGATTCCATTGATTTCAGGTTTGGTTCTGAACATTTGCCGACCATCGATTTCTCCAAAAGCTTAGGGCAGCAACGGGGTGGACCAAAACCGGAAGCCACCCCTCGAAAGTCGGTCGGTTTATAGGTGCCATGTGGACCAAAGCCGTGTCCCGAGTTGTTCATGTTGTTTTCACACTCGCCCAACCCACACGTCCACAGGTGGAGTAGCTACCGCAAATCAAGATAGAAATTGACAGCAAACCGAGTAAATTGCTCCAGGCCAAGAGGGGTTTGGTGAGGGCAAGCAGGGAATTGTCACACGTCACTCTCCAAGCTTCTCCGTCTCCGAGCAATGTGTATAAGCAAAGTGGAAGAAAAGCCTTTCCATGGCCCTGAGTCCGGCAGGTGCAGGTGGAGCATGCCATGAGCAGCTGTATCCACATGGAAGAGAAGGTGGATGCAATTCTTTGCGAGCCTTACGAGCCTTGGCTTGAAAGAGCAATTCGATTGCCTTTGAGTTGCTTGTGCATATTTCACATTCAAATACAACATGAATGATTGGTGTTAAACAAGTTGGACGGAGATATCTTGCTGTTGGCTTCTCTTTACCGGATCTGAGGACATCTTCCTGACTGGCCAGGGCTCTGGCAGCTTAGACTACTTGATCGACGCGCGGCGGCGCTTGGCTAAGCCCTCTGCTACGATCATCCCCTCGGGCGGGGCGCAGTACGCGAGGCTGGTGATGGCGGAGGAATTGGGCATGAGGTCGGTACGGTCGGTGAGGTCGGTCTCCTCAAGAGTCTCCTTGGAGAACTTGGGGACCCTGCTGGACTCCGTGACTCTGGCTTCATCCAGGAGTCTGAGGGGTCAAATCCTTTGATGTACATGTGAGCTTATGTCTCAAAATGGGGGGACGGCAGAAAAGGCAGCTTTCCTTTTGGTTTCCCTTTAACCATGCCAAAGCAGTACAAACCCATGAGGCTCGCTAGTTGCCGCAAGTACCAATCAAGGACCAAAGGCTTCCGCTGGAGCTGCCTACCGGATTTGGTGCTCCAAAGTGAGCAGCTTTGCCTTTTCACCCTGGACTTCCAGACGCTGGAGCCCAAACACATCCCCAGGAGAGTTTGGCTCGCGGTGGTTGAAATTAATGGCATGTTTGAACGCCCTTAAGGGAAAAAGGAAACCAACACCTGATTGCCATGGATTTCCCCTGATTTTGGGAAAGGCGCAAGTTTTCTAACTTGTGGCTGTGAGCCGAGAATCGAATCTGCCCTTACCAAAGGCAGACGAAGCATGATTTCCCACAGATTTTACCGAGCACCTGTGGTTGGATGCGGAATCAAGAACTGTCAGTCGCTAGCGGTGTACCCCTAAACACCCTAGCCTCTCCCCTCCCGCCATTTTCGGGATCTTATTTGACAAAATGGCAAGCCGCATCACAGGCCTCACTCACAGGCCGTTGCATAGCCAGCTTCCACTGCCGCAGCCGCTCCTTCTACCCGCACACTCAATCGCCATCCTGTCAGGTGCTAAGAGCACTGTGCCTCAGCACTGCGCACGCGTGTTGAGCGAGTGTGCTAACCGCTGCTAACCGCTGCTAACCATTCCCCGCGCCCACCCCCCCCCTTTTCCCCCACCCTCCAACCTCCTGGTTGATCGATAGCATAAGACGATCTGATACGATCTGTTGATGTCCAACCATGCACTCGCAAGTGGGCCATAGTGGGCCCAAGTGAGAAGATACTATGGCGACCCTCTCGCAAAACCACGCGTTTTAACGCTACAAGCAGCTTACACAAATGCAATTAATAGATAGCTCCGCAACATCAACAAGTGTTGTGACCAACCTCGCAGAAATACTGCCGCTTGCTGCACCTGTGGTTGTTGCTTGCTCTGCTACATTTTGGCCCACTTCGCGTTTTCATTACAGGTGGATTCAGGGGCGGAACCTTGAGGCATCCGTAGTGGGAATATTAGCGTCCACGCGAGGTGGGAATGTCGCGCAAACGCTGCGCGCAGCATTTGAAGAAGATGTTGTTGACATCGCCCCCCCCCCCAACCGAAAGCCAACGACTTCTCAATGCTGTTGGGGACGGTGGATATCGTTGATTCACAAGGTCTAGCCATCTGCCTCGGCCAATGAAATGAACTTTTGGTTGGCAGATGACCCACTAAAGTATGAAACACCCCGACCCCCCTGGCGGGGTTGCTTCCTTGTGAGGTTTGAAACCTGCAAGACAAGACCCGTTGTTTCTGGTTGTTTACCTTTTCCCTGTCCTTTTTTCCTACACTCGTGGAAATTGGCAGCGGGTTTCACGCAACTTGTTCAGTGGCGCCCTTTTCTCCTTTTCGTTTTCCAAGCTCCCCCTTGCCTTGGATCACAAGCAGGACGGTGGAATCTTTGCCAAGATTGGTGAGCCACCAAGAAAATGTGTCCTTGTTTTAAGCAACCCCCAGCTCGCCCTTGGATCAGGACAAAGTCGCTGGAGCTCCGCGCGCTGCACGACGGCTTCGTGGACGCGGTGGTCACCTCCTGGGAGATGGCCTCGGGAAATTTACGCTTCGCCGCGCACGCGGAGGACGAATCGATTCGTCGGGGGAGGAAGAGAAGAAATGTCTTCGGGACATATTTCCGTTCAAACCTTGAGAGCCAAAGAGAAAATCCTTCAACAAGACATGTCCTACAGTTTTAGGGCTGGGGTGACCGGGGTGGGCATTTTATGTTCTAGCGGAAGCATGGATCAAACCGCCTTTGCGCTTGGAGGAGACGCGCCATGAAGAGTGGGGCTTTGCAAGCGACGTGGTGTTCGGCCAGGGCTTGCAGCTTCTGGTGGAGGAAGGTGACAAGCCAAAGCCCTTTGAGGCGACTCCGTTGGTTTCCGTGTCTTCTGCGCCAGCGTGTCCGTGGTTTTCTCGCCAAATGTCCGAGCTCAGGAGGACATGTTACCTTTAATGCTTCAATCACGGTCTCAAAGGGCGAACCTGTCACTTCCAAGTCGTTTGCAGAAGTGAGTGTCATTTCCGTTCAAGGGCTGCGCCCCCAGACCCCAAGAGAACTGTGCATATCATTACTTACCAGGCAAAAGGCGGAGGTCCTTTTTGGGAGCACTTTAGGGTGTGTGGTTCACCCTGCGCAGGTGAAGGCTGGTGAGGTGCTCACCCTCACGGCGCACATCTCTGAGCGCCGGGACCAACTGCATTTCACGCTGAAAAGGGGCCCGCCAGCCCCAAAGCCAAAGGCTCGAGGCCGAGCACGGTGACGAGAAAATATGGAATGATTGCCCGCAGGAAGTCACTGGGTCGCTTTCTGAGAATGGCCAACGCACCTCCACCTCCAAGATGAGTTGAACTGAAGGGTCGCGCTTAAAAACTGAAATACACTGAGGTTTGGTAGCTTTGGTATTCGCTTGTGCGTCTCTGCTGAGGCCACAGGTCTGGTTTTAGGTAGATTGAACAACGATGGAACCTTGTAGCGCCATGCGAAAAGCGAGCCACAGATGCTGGGACTGGTTTCGCTTGCTTGAAAGACAGCCAAGCGGAAGAACAATGTCCCTGTGATTCTCGGCTGTTGGAACCGATTGCTCATCAAGCAAGAGACGCCAGTACAAAGGGCCCGAGGCCATTGCACCATGGGCTAAAGCGTTAACCGTAGGTGGTCGCTTGTCTTGACTCTTAATAAGTATCCACTTGGGCCACCATTTTGGCTCAAGTGGACCTTTTGATCTTTGGTCTTGTGATTTGAAATCTTTCTTTCCCCTCTCTCAAAGCCATGTACGCCCCCGCCTACGCCGGTGCCGCGGTAGCAGAGGCTAAGGCTAAGGCAAACGCCTCCATGGCAAAGTACCTGGCGAGCCTCGTGAAGAGGGAGGAAGAAGGATGGACCGTTTTGGCTGCCGAGGTCCCTCAGGCACCTGACGAGCGTTTCTTCTCAAGCGCAGATGAGCTGGAGCAGACCCCCCTTATCCCGGCCAAGCGCAAGGCAGAGGATGAGCCGATGGAAGATGCAGCCCCTGGGGTGGCGCAGGTGCCGAAGGCCCTGACACGCCCCCCAGGGGCGTTCCTGGAGCTCCTGAACCCGCCGGAGGAGGACGTGCCCATGGAGGAGCTCCGGACGCAGGACAAGCCCCGGTCCCCCTCGGCTGCAGCCCGATTGGAGGAGACCCGCCTGGATGCCCGGGCAGACGCCAAGTGGCAGAGGCGCCGGGAGCTGATGGCGAAGGTCAAGGAGCAGGCGTCCTCGGAGGAGGATGAGAACCCCGCAGCCCCCCCGCCGGGGGGGAGCGTGTTCACCAAGGCCCTCAAGGTCTCGGAGGGCTCTACCAGTTCAGCGACGACCAGATGGCGGGCGACTTCCCTTGCTTCGATGCGACCACGGCCACTAGCCTCCGCCGACTGCAGGCCAAGGACGTCCAGCGGCTCCTGCGAGGCTTTGAGGGCCCCCAACTCAAGCAGGGGGGCCTGGAGCGCGTTGTGGAGGCCTTCTACATCGCCAAGATGAAGTACACGCCCGGGGACACCGCCCCGAATCTCACGGTCTCGTGCGAACGGGGACAGCTGGAGAGGGTTTGGGAGGAGAAGACCAAGCTCACCAAACCCAAGCTGGCCCTTCAAGGAAGCGACCAGCTGGTGAAGCGCCAGTTCAAGCTCTGCGCAGGAGGCGAGATCGGTTTCATCCCCATGAAATACCTGGTAAGCGCACTCCCGGAGCCAGGAGAACGGCCATGGAAGACCACTAAGAAGAGCACGGTTGATGGCTGGGACCGGGAGGATGAGGTGGAAGAGCGGGGCGAGCCCAAAACTCGCCACCAGCTCGAGAGGATGCACGCGGTGTTCCGCAACACCCTCCTCATGTGCGTCCTCTCGTTCCCGCAGTTCGGCCAGTTCGACATCACCCGGGAGGACTTGGAGAGCTGGTACGAGTGGTTCTATGGTGAGGACATCGGGGGCCGTTTTCCCCCGCCAGAGGACCACGTCCTGGCAATTGCCGAACGCAACGCATGGCGAAAGATTCACGAGAAGATGCATGAGGGCAACACCCTCAAGGCGGCCATGCTGTCGGTCAGGCAGGACACATTGTTCTGGACACGTGAGGTCTACGAGAAGATCAAGCCCTTTTCCAGGGGCCGCCCATCAACCAGGACATCCATGGACTACGCACCACCTCAGAAGGGCAAGAACAAGTCCAAGGGCAAGGGGAAGTCCAAGGGCAAGCCTGGGAACAAAGGGAAGGGTAAGCCCCCCCACCTGAACAATCAGGCGTCCCGGGGCGGTAGCAAGCAGGCAGCCACCGACCCGAAAGGGAACCAGTTCTGTAACAACTGGATGCGCGGGCGCTGCCCGGGCAACTGCGGCCGCACCCACAAGTGCAACCTCATCCTGGCAATGGGCCGCATCTGCCTGGGGGACCACCTCCCGCAGGACTGCCCGGGTTGACTAGGGGCGCTGACCCCTACCCCCCGGGAGGCCTCAGGTGCCGAGGGCCCTGATAAGGCCCGGGGGGGCGAGAAGGGGCGCAAACGCCCCAAGCAGGCACAGAAGCCCCCTCCTGCAGGTGCCGAGGGCCCTGACACAGGGGGGGGACAGGCCAGGTGGCGGCCATCCTCGGCGGAACAAGGATGGGGACGGCAGAACCAGCGTGCACAACGCCCTCGCCGTGATCAGAACAGCCACACAACCGGCACAACGGCGGCGCCTCAGTCCCGAGCCACAGGTGCCGAGGGCCCTGATAGGGCGGGGACGGGACGGTTCCCCGCAGGTGCCGAGGGCCCTGACACGGGGACCCGCACCCAGAAGGCCCGAGTGCCGGATGTCTGGCAGCGCACCGCAACGCCAAGGGACACTCCCAGGAGGCAGCCGATCCCACTTCCGGCGCCCAACATCATCAAGCAGGACCCGGTGGTTTTCCACAAGAGCTCGGTGGGGCTGAATGAAGGGGGCCAACGCCTTTCAGCTACCCCCCTGACAAGTCCAACGGAGCCGTCACCGGGATTGGACATCTTCCCGTGGATGGAGAACATCCCTGAGCGTCTGGTACAGCGGCTGAGATGGACACAGGGCACATCGCCCAAAGTTCCATCCAGTGGGCCCATCATTGTCCTGCTCTATGCAGGCAAGGAGGACCCTACTTCCTTGGACAGCTGTCTTCATGCCAACTACCCACACCTTTCCAGCATGGTGGTGGCGGTAGACATCCTACGGTCTGGACCCAAGGGGGACCACGATATGCTCCAACCCGAGCTGTATGGAGCTCTTTGCACGGCAGCAAAGCAGGGCCGAGTGGTCTTCATTGGAGGAGGACCCAACTGCAGGACATGGTCCATCCTGCGCCACATACCAAAACCGGGGGCTCCCACCCCGGTGCGAGGGCGCACTCCAGAGACACTCTGGGGCCTTCCACACCTGGACCAGGCCGCCCAGACTCAACTTGATGATGACAGCATCCTCATTCTGAGACAGATGTACATCACCAGCCTGGCAAGGGCCTCACGAGCGGCGGTTTCTCTGCCAGGGCCCAGGTCCTTCCTGGAACACCCGGAGGACCCAGTGGTGAGCAGCTCGCTGCCCAAAGCCAAGGAATGCTCATCCTTCTGGATCACAGAGGAGGGGCAGCTTTGGATGGAGGAGAACTCCTTGACAGCAATCTCCTTCGACCAGTGCCGCCTGGGCCAGCTGGTCAAGAAGGCCACTACGCTGGCCACGGATCTCCCGATCCAGGACTGGGATCAAATGCGGTGCACGCATCAGTCACATGTGGGCACCAACGAGTCCTCGACTCTTAGCAGATACCCTTGGGATATGATGGCAGGCCTGGCCAAAGCCATCGCTGTGTCACTCGCAGCGCCGGGGCACATCCGGATCCCCTCACAATTTCCGGGAAACCCCAAGGAACCACCTAAGGGGCGGGGGTCGGACCCCCCGGAAGGCCATTCCCCCCGGGGAAAACGGGGGCCCAGTCAAGGAGGCGGTCCCTCCTCATCACACCAGGGCTCAAAGCCCGGAGGCAAGAACGCCCCGAAGCCCCGCCTGCACGGGCAGTTCCACCCTGAGGCAGACACCGTAAGCCCTCGTGGAACAATGAACCCAGACTTCCCATCTCCCATGCCCCCGATGGCCGGAGATGCGGAACAACTGGGGAAGGAGGGACAGGGGGACCAGGTCCTGGACCGCCCCGAATGCCTGCCCGCTTTCAGGGTCCCACACCTCACTGACCGGGTGGCGATTGTCCAATTGGGTTTCCGCTCACGCCCCCTGAGGGATGGGGGGGGAAAACCTTCCCCAGGGAGGCTCAACCCCCCTTTTCGGAGAATTTCCCCATTGGCTACTTTGGGCGCCCTGATCATGACCCTTACCCGGCCCTGGATTGACAAGGTCCGAATGTCCCTGGCATCAGGTGCCACCACACACCCCTTCCAGGAAGCCGACCTCGAGGAGCTGCGGGCTATCCTAGGACCGAGGCACCTCCATGAACGATGCCCAGGACAACCCTTCCTCCTGGACTTAGTGTCGCACTTGGCATCCCTTCCAGGTGACCCTGATTGGGAATTCGGACCCTACCTTGACCTCCCCGGGAGTTTGGCCCACTAAGGAGGAACTTAAGGGAGAAGCCTGGCTGGGGGAAGATCCCCCCCGCCAGTGGCTCATGGTAACTACCCAACGGCTGAACTCTTTGCCAAGGAAATCGAATCAACCTTTTACGAGGAACGAGCCTTGGACATGGTGGACGGGCCCTTCACTCGCTCCGAGGCGGCAGAGAGGTGCCGCTGCAAACCGGAGGAACTTTGCCCGGGCCCCCTTGCAGGGATTGATGAGTCGGACAAGATCAGGACGATCTATGATGGCTCAAAAGGGGGAGCAAACGCACACATCCAGGCTCACACGGAGGAGAAGACCACCGCACCGATGGTTGGAGACTGCCTCCATGCCATCCACTGGCTCAGGACAGCGGCGGACCATCCTCATCTACTCCGAGCCCCATCCTCGGGCACTGATGAGGAACCTCGGGATGTTCGCCAGCCGGTGCAGGGGCAGTCCCCAGGTGCCGAGGGCCCTGAGAGGGACCCCCACAGCACCAGCCTGCCCCCAGGTGCCGAGGGCCCTGATAGGGGCAGGCGGATGATGGAGACCTCAGGCGGCCTGGACGTCTCTCCGCGGTCAACACCCTCAGGGAAGGGGCCACTCCCAGGTGCCGAGGGCCCTGATAGGAGGGCCCCATTCCCCCCAACCCCCCCAGGCACGGAACGCCCGGGGGGGAGCAGGGGGGAACCCCTGACGTGGCAGCCGCCGACACAGGGGGAAACCTTCATCATCCTCAAGGCGGATGTCACCAAGGCCCACAGGCGCATAAAAGTGCTCCAGAAAGACTGGAAATACCAGGTGGCCTGCATCCAGAACCGGTGGTGGGTCAATAGAGTGGGCACGTACGGCATGGCCTCGGCACAACTGTACTGGGGAAGAAAGGCATCCTTGGTGCTCAGACTCTTGTACTACATCTTCCCTCAGGTGGACTGGCACTTAGTTTTTGTGGACGACTACTGCTGGGTCCTCAGATGCAGCAGGGCGGACTGGGACGCCACAGCCATCCTGGCCACTCTTCTGGCGCTGGGAGTCCCGCTTTCTTGGAAGAAGACGGCGCTCTCCCCGGTCAATACCTGGTTGGGATTCGTGGTGGACCCAATCACGCCCTGTGTGCTGCTGGCTCCAGTCAAGCACGTCATAATCCTGGCCACTCTCAAACGGCTGGCCCAGGGGGACATCTTTACCAGCAAGGAGGTGGAACAAGCCCTGGGCCGGATTCAATGGGCTACTTCGGCGTGTCCATTGACGAAACCTTTCCTCCAGCCCTTTTGGAGCTGGAAGAAGGCCTGCACCACTTCGGGCAGGCCACCGAAGCTGGTTCGTGCTCTGGCCATCCTTCTGGGGAAGCTCTTCAACCAGAGGTTCCCACTGGCATCTCCATTTGCTCCCACACTTCCATGGACGGGGGCATCTGATGCGGGAGCTGGCAAACAGGCGGACCATGCATGGGTTGGTGGTTGGTGCTCGGACGTGCCCAACCCCGACAAGTCCCGAGTGAAGTGGTTCCAACACAGAATCACACCGGAGGGCGAGCCGTGGGCCTTCACTACTGGGGACCCGCAGCGGGCGATAGCGGCCTTGGAGCTCTTCGGCCTCCTCCTTTTGGTGAGGGCTGTTCTGCTTTGTGCAGCCGGCTCGGCTTCTCACACTAGGATTCTGGTTGCTAGTGATAACCAGGGAAACGTTTTCTCCCTGCTTAACGATTCCACTCGCAGGATGCCCAATGCGGCCATCCTCATGGAAATTGTGTTAACACTGCATGACCACCAGGTCATGTTAGGACCGTCGCATGTGAAGCGCGACTTTAACACATGGGCGGATGAACTTACTCATCCGGACCCGCAATTTCCGACTGAGAACCGGGTCTTCCCCTCAGTCGAAAGCGAATTGATCAAGCTGATCTTCGCTACTTTCCTTCCTCACCCATGATGCCGGGAGGGCATCCGGTGAGGTGGGAGGATTCCTCCCTCGCTGTGGGAGTGGCATCAATTCTACTCCCATCAGCTGCTGAGGGGAGCTGCCCAGTGGAGCTGGGCAATCCTCCCATTTTGGCACTAATCCTTATGCGGCGTAAAGGATGCACCGTTCGCGATTAAGGTACCAGTAGCACCAATGTGGTGCTTTGAAGAGTCAGGACCTACTAAGAGTGCACACTTCTCCTGGGTGTTGTTGTTTCTGGTCGCACCTAACGACAGCAGAGCCAGTCCACTGCTATGTGGGGTTGTCTCAAATAGGGGCACCCGGAGGGGGTCCCTAGTTTGGGCGAAACTCTGATCGGGAAGCCTCAAACACTTTGCCAGGGGAAGTGCTACCCTTGCACCTTGGACTGTCGGCACTGATTGAGCCCCGCTCCATCCCCCTAGGTTTTTTTTTCGAACCCACTAGAACCCAAATTTGTTGATTGCCTGCGTCTTCTAGTTTGTGCATCCGCCCCGTCTTGATTTTCCCATGGCCACTGGGGAAGCCATATTGGACATGGGAAAGCCACAAGGGCAAAGGCTGAGCGCGTTGTTTGGGCAGGGACCCCATTGTGGGGTCTTGTGGTGCCCGTTTCAGTGTTTCACGGCCAGGAAGCGCCAGGTTGCGCAATTTGTGAATAAAACGCCCATGACTCCCTTCATAGGGAAGCTTGAATGAGAGTGTGTCTTAAAGTAAAGTAGGTTCCCCAGGTTACCTCAACCTGTGTTCTTTGAGGCATTTGAACAACCGCAACAACAATCAGACTGGTGCCCCCGGGACCCCAGACGGCGCTGCGGCCGCTGCTGGCGGCCACTCAGCTTTCGCAGCTGGACCTTGCGGAGTGCAGCGCCTCTGAATAAAACCGAAGCCTGTCGTCAGCGGGGCGTTTCTCGAAGAAAACAAAAGAAGCTGAACATGTTCACAATGTTCGGAGCCTTTTGGGGGTCCACAAAAGAAGCTGTGCCCCAAAATGGCAACGGTGTCCTTTTGAGTTCCCATTAAGCAACCAAAAAGGGCGCTCCATTTTGAGAAACCCCTGACTCTGTCTAAATGCTTGTTGCCTCTTGGCGAGCTCCATGAAGTATGGGTACGCTATCCGAGTCAAAGAATGAAGATTCCAGTGACTTGTGCTGCAGTTTGAGCGCGTGAGGCATCGGCCCTTCTGGAGCCATGCTCTTGGAGGAGATCTTGCCGCATTGCCAGCTCAGGGTGCCTCGGCCTGGCGGTACGACAAAACGTATACCCACTTGGATCCTCACATTGCCACGCTTGACCTTTCGACTTGTAGGTTTGCATGTTCGACATGTGAAAACACCCGACAAACGGATGCAGTCAGTTGTTGTTCTATTTGTTGAAGGAGGGCTACATCTGTTCAAGGTCCTTTTGACCCACCCACGTGGACTTGTCGCCCACTCAGGACTTGTCTCTGTACCGCAGCGGCATCGGACTTGATGGGCTGCTGCGGGCCCAGGGTCAAGGTGCTGGGTGCTGTCAGGTGAGTCGTGCGCCAGATGTTGCAGATGGCAGCCACAATACTGGCAAAGTGTGATGGACTTATCGTTTGAAGTATATGTTTGATGTTCTGTTCTTTGAATGAGTGGGCTTTCATCAGCACGTCAGCAAAGAATCGTGCCTTTCAGCATCACGATCGCTATGTGCGAAAAATAAAGAAGGAGAAACAATTAAAGAAGGAAGGAATCGAAGGCTCTAAGCTTAGGCGGCGCGTGGCTGAAGCTGCTTGCAAATCGGGTACACTACGTGCGCTGGACGTCACTGCAAACGGCCAGCATTGCGAGCGCTGGGTAGAGGCGAGGATGCGAGGGGGGTGCGATGGACGTGCCAGCCTGACAGAATGTGTTTTTCCATGCGCAAAACAAAACAGAGCCCTCTCCAATTTGGTGCTTTCATATCGGCCCCTTTGATGATCCCAAAATGGCTTGTGTCTTGACATGCAGTTGAGGCAGGCATCTAGAAGCCATGTCTGCCCCAGCCAAGCTTCTTGAGGTGGTCCTTCAAAGTTGCCACTTTGTTTGCCAAGAATAGCCAAAGCGATGAACACTTGCATCTGTGATTGAGATGCCAACCGCTTGTCGCTGGATTAATTTCAGCCTCGCACTCTCAAAGCTACACTTGCCTTTGGCTTTGCGAAAGATGAGATACGCAAGCCTCCATGCCGATGCGACGAAAGAATGCAACCTGACTTGTCAGACCCTTTCTTCGGTACGATTGGTGCAAACTTCAGGGTGGGAGGGTTGGTTTAGGGTCTTCGCACAGTGATCTGGGTACTTACTGTATTGTTTTTCCAGGGGCCGCTTTGGTGGCCATCATTTGGGTTGGGATTCATATCCTATGTTGTAGTCTTCTCTGCGTCTTTGCGTCTTTGCCCCTGAGGCGCTGGGGAAGCCTTTGGCCTTTGCGTTGGCCAGCGCGAAGTCCCTGAAGGTGTTGACTTTGTCGTGCCCTGAGCAGCAGCTGCAGGCCCCAAGCTTCGAAGCGTGAGGGTGGCATTTGGGCAGGACATTTGAGCCTGGATCGAGAGAGAGCGGCTTTGAGTGCAAAGTTTAAACTCCAAGTGCCAATGGGACAGGGGGGATGCCTCGGCAATAATTCCATCCAACCAAGGGAGGATAAGAAGGAGGCTGTTGTAAATCGGGGGTTGGAGAGAAATGATTGCCTTTGGTGGGGATCATTTCCATGAGGAGTTCTGTCCATCAGCCATTCTGGAAGGTCGCAAGATTCATAGCCATTTGTGTTTGGCGTGCGTGAAGAAATGTGAAAGGTACAACGTCCTTAACTTGTTGGCGGTACAAGGTTGCAAAGATTCTGTTGGATTCCCGGACACAGGCAGCCACGGGCATCTTCCAAGATCTGCCCGTGCGTGTGATTCTTGTGCCCAACGAGCAGAACAACTACAACAGGCCGGTCAAGATCATTGGCAGTTTCATGCAAGTATGAGTTTATATCAATCTGTGTCAAAGCACGGTAGTTGGCTCGTTTCATTGGATGGATATGGCCCCTACACATGAAGCTCATCATCAGTGAGAGGCCGAAGTCATTGAGAAAAGCTCGCTTCAGGGAAGTTTCACTGACAAACCACAGTTCTGTCGCTAAGTCTGATTCGTTGAAAGCACTTGTCTTGTGCGCTCCCTAGCTAAGGGCCTTTGATTTCCGGGCTGAAGTCTGGCCCGCGTTTGGCCATGGGGCATGTATTGACTTCTTTGAACACGCAGTGTGCATGACTACACGCGAAGTAAGATGAGGTGTGTTTGTGGAAGTTCAGGTGCGCGTCGGGGTTAAGCAGGTTCGTCGCGATGTGTTTACATGCAAGCCCACTTTGTGTCCGTGTGCGTGTGCGTGCGTGCGTGCGTGCGTGCGTGCGTGCGTGCGTGCGGGCGTGCGCGGGCGTGCGTGCGTGCGTGCGTGCGTGCGTGCGTGCGTGCGTGCGTGCGTGCGTGGGTGGGTGGGTGGGTGGGTGGGTGGGTGGGTGGGTGGGTGGGTGGGTGGGTGGGTGTGGGTGTGTGTGTGTGTCGTGGCCGTGGCATGGTGTGCGGATTAAACTGTAAGTAGTCGTGATTATTGGACGTTTGAGGGCTCTTCATTTTGAAAGTTTTATTAACATTGGGCATATTGTGTTCCCGAGCAGAGCCATGCCGCTCCTGAATGCAATTTGCCACGTAGATGTTGAATGAATCAGACAAGTAGCCACGGATGCGAACTTTTCGCTGCGGAACCAGTTGGCGTTGCTCAGATCCAGCCAGGCCAATGTTCTTGGGCCACAGCGATTGAGCGGCTGAACCCTGCGTGCCGAAGCCAAAAGCGACCGAAGTTGCATGCCGGTGTGTGTGTGTGCGCGTGTGTCTGTGCCTTTTTGTGCGGACCCCCTATTTGGTTTGAAAAAGAAGCAAAAGGGGATTCAATCAGTTTGGAGGTTCCCTTATGCTGAGACAAGCCCATCCCGAGTTTGCAGAGTTCCCCAAGCACTGTCCAAGACCTTTGATCAAACTGCTACCATCGTGATCCTTGCAAGCTGGAAAGCGAGGGCGCTTGAAAGCCCTTGCAATTCCATTCCAGCTTGTGAAGGGGCGGCTTGCCGTGCCGGCATTTAGTTCAGCGTGTCGCTTGGCATGTTTGGGCTTCGCTAAAAGGATGGCCACGATGACGCGAAAAACTCATACTGTTACTAAGTGGAAGTTCGGGCACCAAAGACCAAGCAACACCTTTAGTTCGGGGAGCCATAATCCGGCGGATGCCCTAAATTTTGCAAGTAAACCAACCAAACCACAAAACCATTGTAAATCACAGTAAATTGGAGGGTTTCCTTGTTCCCTTACTTGCAATATTTTGGGCATCCACCGTCCCACAGAATTTTATCGTGGCATGTGTTTCAATAATTTTCACCTGTTTCAAGCATCCGATGTTCATCCACATCTCACGCCGTGCGAGGTAAGACAATCTTGGCTCAGCACCCTTGGGTGCGGGGAGAGGGTGGCAGCCATGTTTCGACCTCAGGGCAAAGGTGGCATGAACTATGGCCAGAAGCTCAGAATTCAGTGAGGAGACTAAGGAGACTAGAGTCTATGGAGTATAGCCATAATAAAAAACTTTCAAATGAGAGCCTTAGGACGCGGCTTGCCCTGGGCTTTCCCTAGGATGGGCCCATCCCGCAGATTCCCCAGTGCAGATCCCCTAAGTCTATGAGTACCGTTTGACCTTTGCAGTTGATTTTTTGATTGAGCTGATGCATTCCGTGCAAGTTGCACGTTGCTGCACGTGTGCGATGGCGTTCCTTTAACTGCCACTTGTTTGGCATTTGCAACATGCTCCACTTGGTTTCGATATGTTTCGTCTTATCACAAGGAGCGGCTTGCCCACAATGAATGCTGCCCCAATATTGTAAAGCTCCTGCGGGCCCCCACCTTGAATGATGCCACCAGTATCTTCTTTGCAGCATGGGCCGAGGCGACATTCCGCCAAACCAGACGCTGTACGTGCCCCCTTCCAGTTTGTCTGGCAGAGTGGAGGTGCATTATGTGTGACCATTTTGGTGCAGCCCCTTTCTTTGCAACTATCCATGTTTTCCTTGACGTGTTGTTTTGCCCCTTTCGACAAGCCTGAACCCAGCAGATGATTGGGAGGGTTGAGAATTCCACTCAGGTCTCTACTCAATTCAGGCACGAGCTTGCAAGACTTTCTGTATAGCGAGCGACAGAACGTGCGAAAACCACCCATCAAAAGTTGCTTGGGGCATCTCTTAACTCCGCTCAATATATTGATAGTATATGGTGCAGAATGCAATGTAGTGTGTAGTCAATGTAATGTAGCTGCATGTAGTTTGTTTCGCGTAATGATAGCTCTAGTGCATTGTCCCATTATCACATGCAATGGTATGACATGTAACGGTATGCAGCGCAGGTCAAATTACTATAATGTTCAGTATTACGATGCGATGCAACGTAATGCTAGTATGTAATATGATGTGTTGTATGTCACGCAAAATTTTATACTCTGTAATGCAACGTAGTGTAGTGGAGTGTAGTGTAGTGCAGTGTAATGTAATGTAATGAAATGTAATGCTAGTGGTATTGTAAAGTAATACAATGTACTACAATGCAACATGTGTTATGTGGAGCGCAGTGCCCTGGTGTGCGATGTTATGTTATGATGTGTTATGACATGTAACTTATCGTTGCTGTGATGTCTCCAATGTGAGTATGATGCAACGATGTATGTTATACAATGTCACGCCATGCAATTTGATGTACAGTACCGCAACGTTTTGTTCTGCAATGTGATGCAGTGCCACGCAACGGTATGTAATGAGTTGCCATGTCATGTCGTTTTGTTTTTGGTGAGGCTGGAGCGAAATTCATTGCCACGTAACACAATGTAGCCTTTGGCATGTAATGATATTGTTGTACGCAGATGTGGCTGTTGCATTAAGAGTTGGGTATGTCCTTGATTGGGGTGCCCTTGGGCGTTGCTTAAAAGGGACAACTGACTGGACACCGGGCGTTGTGGTGTTCCACTTAGAGACAGACCCTGGGATGCCAGGTCAACAATCTGAACGAAAAGATCAAGGTCGCCGAACTGAAGTGCTGCCTGCTGGAGCTCTTCTCCAGCTATGGGGAGGTGCACTCGGGCACAAAGGCGTAGCCCCTATCTATTGGACGAGTGGAAGCTGGGTGCTCCCTCGGCGGGAAACTCCGTCTTTGGATGGTTTAAAGGGAAACTATGGCTTGCCGGTTTTCTCACATTGTGCTTGGGTTTGTTTCTGGATCCTGGGGACGTGGGCAATAGCTCATATTTTGTCAATATCCATGAGCAAAGCTCACGCAATACTCGGTATGGTGTGCGGTGGGGTCCAAAATGGAAATTGGATTGCGAAGCTCAAGGTCTTACGTTTACAGGGGTCAGAGTACTTGTAGCTCATGCTCTTGCTCCCTTACTGCCCCTACGTACTTGCTCCCTTAAGTGTACGCTTGCCTGAACATTGCAAGCATGCATGCAGCTTCTGTGTGATCAGCTGATACTCGGCCATAGTTTGTGGCTTGTCTGCTTACGTTTTTTTTTTGCTTAATTTTTTAGGGGAACCACTGTAGCATCACGTGCAGAGCGCACCGGGAGACGCTTGAATGGAGGCTGGGCAGTTTTGAAATGAGTTTGAAATCCAAGCCGAGAGGTCATGGACATCGTTGCGGCCAGCGGTCTGAAGAAGAAGGGCCAGGCCTTCTTGACTTGCCAGTACGCAGAAATGTGTCTAGAGTGTATTGCTCGTGATGGCAAAATGACCTAGTGCTCCGCTGCATGTTTGATTGATTCATTGATGCATTGTCTTGTTGATTAAATCATTGATTCCTTGGCTTATTCATTTATTCATTCGGTGCATTTAATTTGTGTAACTTCATGTCATGTCATGTTATGTCATTTGAGTTTGTTCATTCCTTCATCGCTTTCTTCCTTTCTTCATTCATTGATTCATTCATTCTTTCGGTCAGTCAGTCAGTCCTCAGCAGCTAGTCGGTCAGTCATATTTGATGATTAGAATGTTTGGATGAGTGGATTGATGGATGCTTTGGGTTGATTGGACTGATTGGACTGATTGACTTAGTTGCGTTGGTTGGTTTAGTTGATTTGATTGTGTGATGGTGTTGATAGCATTGAGTCTGACTTGATTTGCTTGATTGCTTGATTGGCTGAGACATTCATTGTTTGTTTGACAATTGATCATATTTTGTTTGTTTATTTGATTGATTGGTACTTGATTGATTGCTTGCTTGATTGATTGATTTATTCATTGGTTGATTGGTTGGGTTGATTGCTTGATTGATTGAATGAATGAATGAATGAATGAATTAATGGAAATTGATTGATTGATTGATTGATTGATTTATTTATTGATTGATTGATTGGTTGATTGATTGATTGATTAACTGACTGACTGACTGACTGACTGACTGACTGACTGACTGACTGACTGACTGACTGACTGACTGACTGACTGACTGACTGACTGACTGGGTTTCATTTGACTCGATTTGATTTGTCTGGCTATGAGTTCATTCATTTATTCGTCCACTCATGAGCCAATTGCTCATGTACTTCTTCACTGATGCACTTACTCAATACTTCCAATCAATCAACCATTCCGATAATTCCGCAAGACTCGCCAGTCAATGACTGACTGACGGACTAACCCACTGACGGTCTGAAGGACTGACTGACGACGGGCCGAAGGACTGACGGACTTGCTGACTCATCCTCTCATGGAGCCATTTTGTCATGTACTTATTTAATTACTCACTCAATAACTCCATCAATCGATCAGTCAATTCGTTCGTCCGCCAGGAAGCCAGTCATTGACTGACTGGCTGGCTGGCTGGCTGCCTGGCTGACTGACTGACTCACTAACTGACTCCCTGAGTCAGTCACTCGGTCAACACCATCCGTCCATCCAGCAATCAATCAATCTCTCACTCCGCCCAGTACAGGGGTCCTTCATGTTTATTGTTTTACCATGTTCATCCTTCCTCACCATTTGGTGGGGTGGGGGGTTTACCTGGATGTTGTTTTGTGTTTTGGCCCGGCTTCTGCTCGCTGGCCCGGTGGCCAGGCCTTCATCGTGTTCAGGGATATCTCATGTGCCACAAACGCGCTGAAGCCTCAGCTGAGATTCACCCTGATGCGTTGGCCAATAAGTCGGCTGGACAGTTGGTTGGAGTCCCCCCCTCCAGCTCCAGCCCCCCACCCAAGAATATGGACTTGACAAGCCAGAATGGCCCGTCCATTTGGGCAATGAAAAAGGCAGTGTTGGCTGGAAGACATCGGCGAGCACGCGGATCACGGCTGGTCAGCACCAGCCGATGTCCTGAGGCTTCGATCACTCAACGGCTTTGTTTTGCTGGACAAGCCCTTGAAGATCAACTATTGCAGGCACTGGCTTGAGCAAGACATGGGGTTGTTTCAAAAATTAGGGGACCTCAAAGGTTGGTTTCATGTTTGAAAACTGGCCACAAGGGGGCTTCCAAGACAAGACACCCACATCCAGCACTGAACGGAGGATCAGTCGCTTGACATTGCCGTCGGAACTCGCTTCCGACGGAGTTGTGTGTTGCTCATCCGCTCCAGCAGTCGACCTATGGGGGCGGATTCTGCCAGAGTTGTTTTCTGCGGCAAGGACCAAGTCTGATGTCGTTGCCCACGAGGACAGCTATGCTTTTGCTCAGAGCCTGATTTGAAAGGCGTCGAAGTCATAACAATCCATAGGAAGGGTGTTGTTTGGGACTAAC